AGTTACTGTATTAATACCATAAAGTATTTGATACATAGCTTTATGTTGTACAAACAGCCATGTTTTGTTATAAAATGTATTGAAATTCTATAATTTTATAATTTTGCTTATCTTTAACCAACAACAGGAGGCTTAGATGTTTTCTAGTCTTCATTTGGCATCAAACCTTTCTTTAAAAAAACTGGAAAATCTAGATTCCGTACTATTTTACAGGTTTCAACATACTATCAAACTAACTCGACAACGACCACACAGTTGTTCTACGGGCTATGAATTTAAACTCCATGCTCGAAAGATTCTCATTTATTGGCCGACTCTCACACTATAAGGAATATGACTTAACTTCAGATTGAATCGCTTATACAGTCTTTACTTTACATAGCATTTTCAAAAGTATTTGGAACATATTTGTTCTGTCAGATATATATATATATATTCATATAAGATAGTTTTTCAAAGTAATCACTGTAACAGTTGCTATTCTGAGTCATTGCTTTCTGATTCTTGTGCGTCAGGCTCCGGTAGTTTATCTAGCACTGAAGTACTTGAAGGTAAGTGTTTGTAATATTCATTAAAATCTTTTGGAATACATCCGTCCTTGCATAATGCCATAAGATATTTCTGTTTAGATGCAGATACAGAAGTTTCTTCATGTATTTTGGGCGAATAATCTCTTCGAGTTTGTCTTCCTTAACCATCTTTTACAATCTTTATAGATCAGAACTCGTACATTGTATCATTTTTTTAGATAACATTATATCTGGCATATTCTAAGTGAATCAAATGTGTCCAATCTGCTTCCATGATACCTTAAAATAATATGTAAAATGGTGATAAGTTTCAATGATATATGTTTTTTAACGGACATGACATTCAGGTGTAATAAACACTTGTATTTATTGCTTATTTCATATAATTATGGCACTATTCTTACATTTCAATTCACCACTTAATCTAAGGCAGTACGCCTTTTCGTTTCCTTACTAAATGGATTTTCACAGGAGTATTATAAGTTGCAGATTTTCGCGGTGTGGTATAGATATACCTAAGTTGTACATGTCTTGCATACAGTGTTACGTCATTCAGTCCTTCCCCTGAATTCTCAGAATTGTCCCAGGTGTTCTCTGCGTGTCAGCAATGTCCTTGATGATAGATACATGTATCATAATGTTCAATATTTGTTACAATAGATGTATATGCCAGGTTTATGATTTCATTTGTATCACTTGCTGAAAGAGTTGGCTGTACCTTTATGATAGGTTTGGCCAAAGCATGCGGTAGAAAATTAGCAACTCTACCTGACCAGTATCTATCACGTTTTAAATTTTCGACCTTATTTAGATGCTCACTCCAAAAGGCTTCACCATCATAAGTTCTGTGTTTTTTTCATAAAAAAACAGGCAAACTATTTTGAGCTTTGCTCCAGATGTAAGCATATTGACTGCCTAGGTCCCTGTGCGGAGTAACTTGGCCCAGATAATTTAATCGAGCTTAAAAGGAGCCGTTACAATGTCCTTGCACTTTGACCATCGTAATAGGATTTTTTTGTGAGTAACGCATCTATAATAGTTACCCCTGTTCTGAACCTAAGCACTGCATATAAGTTTTTCTTTTATTCTTTCATTTATTGCTGAAATTGTTGCTGAACTATTTGCTTTGTCCATTTCAAAGTCAACAGATGTTGATGAACTCTTTTTAAAAACCATCTTTTCTTGTTGCTAAGGAAATTTAGTACGCTGTTTGTTTTTTAAGTGCTTTTTTTCCACCAGACGTTCAAATTTCTCCTTTCGTTTCCGGTCTTTTTTGTGGTTTCTGGTGCATCGGACGAATATTCGGAATCAGATGAATTTTATCTTTTGATGAAGGTCTGATTATTTTATATAAACCACTATCTCTATCGGAGGCATCCATGTCAAACAATTTTCTCTTTTCAATTAAATAGCTAGGAGAGATATTGTCACTGTCACTTCCATTATCATTTTTGTCACTTTCATTGCCACTATCAATATATCTCGGGTTTTTTGTGCAGGTTTTTGCCTTTGCTCTTCTGTTTCAATTTCATTGGCTGTTTTAAATGTAATATAAACATTGTCTGATTAATCATTGATATTGTCATTGTCCACAGGATTAAGTGATTTATGTACAGGCGGATTTTTATTACTGACAACTGTGGACTGTCCATGATCTATGTCACTGTCCACATTTTTGTTTCAGTTATTTGCAGATTAAGACAAGATAAAAATTATTTTCCTGAATCCCATGTGCATTTAACATAGTTTCAATATCCAAAAAATTGAAAACTCATATTCGCTGTCTGACAGTGTCTGCAATTAAATCTGAATCAAAAGTTCATTAATCAATAAATATCTTTTTATAGCTTAACAATGTTTTTTTTCCTTTTATCAGTATGTCATAATTTAGCTGAAATAAATACGGATGTATACTTATTTTAATGACAAATTAGCATTGTTGTCTAATTCTAACATATTGACAATTGACTCTCCAAATAAACAAGCAGTGTAGATAAAAGTATTATGAAAGGATGGGTGTTCTGATAATTTAAAAACACGCTATATCATTGAAATCAACATACAAATTTAAGCTGCGTGAAAGTGCTAACGACACTTTTTCGATTCGATAATTTGCAATGACATTTCAAATCTTTTATAAAATTTATGAAATCGTAAATACCCTTTATAAATATTTGTGTTTGTCTTCTCGCACTCATAATTATTAGCTAAAAATTTCAATAATTGCAAAAAAAAATCGAGAATAATTTTAGTAATAAATAAACATGCCTTCAAAAACAAAATGTTTTCCCAAAAGAAAATTTTAAAACTCTTATGATCTCTCTCGGTTTATAATTACCCCCAAAATAATGACTGAGACAATGTGAGAAATATGACAGATACATCGTTTTATCTCTAAACATGAGTCATTTGTATCATCACGTTCCCTGATAAAACCAATTAAACACCTTTGAATTCATTTATGTTCTTAAATGTGAGAACAGCAAAGGTTTCATTTTCAGGAAAAAAACATTTATTTTCATTTACGCTGTTTTTGCATAAAAATAATGTTTATCATGAGGTAAAAGTTTTGTCTGTAAGACTGACGTATCTCTATATACGTGGTTTTTGCAAATTGAAAATAAACTGATTTTCACATTATTGTTTCTGCAAAAAAGCTTGTCTGTATTTAAGATGTTCTAGCATATAATTGTTAACAGTATACTTTGAAAAAATGGATCTGCAAGAAGACTGTAACTTTAAAGGAGTGGTTTTAGCACCGAGATATTATTTATATGGAATAGAACATTATCACTTATATCATTTTACTTGGTTTTCACAATAAAATGTAGGGGTAAAATTTTTTACGTGGATTGATCACAAATCAATATCTCAAAAACTTTTCCACGTATTTCAATGAAAATTTGACACATTGCGCATCTTTCTTAAATTAACCAAATTATAGGAAAAAGTCAATTTCAGTAAATTCTTCATTTACGTGGTTTTGTTTCTTATATTTAACTTTTTTTCTTTTATACATAATACAGCAACTACATATTGGGAGAAATTCTATACAGCTGCATATCAATTGTAAAATGTCTTAAGACAGCGGTCTGATATATGCCGATTTTATTTCATTGCTAATTGCTAAATGACTAATATACAGAAGTGTTAAATTCCTCTCTTAACATTGATATTGAATTTTGTATAAACAGGTTTTACAGGGGTTTGGTAGAAGGAAGACCAACGAACGCTTGCATTGATCTACAGTGTCCGTGAACAGGGTAATTCAAACCGATGAACATTTTTATTTTTGTCCTAACAGAGTTAGCAATATACGAGAATTACGGGTATCTTAAATCTTTTACAAAATATCATTTTTCCAAAGTTTCATTCTGACACAGTTTTTTTTAAGTTCTCTATCATTTTAACAACTTTATATTTGTTCTGTTTAACGTACAGTGACGGGCTAGATTTCACTCATTTAAAAGTAAGTATAAAAATTAACGAGATGTTAAATTACTGAAACACATGTTAAAACTGACAACCATAAAACAAATGTTTAAACTCTGCCCCTCCTCGAGGTTCCATGTCAAATGTCACCGTAGCTTTTTTTGTGGATATTGAATGTAACTGACTAAAAGGAGTACAGTAAAGTTAGATCAAGAGCTTCTAGAACAAGATTGCATAATACATTTCATCATCTGTATGAACAGAGAAAAGTTTATTTACAATTGTTTTTTATCTTACAAACATTTCACATCATACCATTCAGAAAAAAATGGAATAAACAAAATGTTCTTTTTCAGAATATGAAGTTCATTTTATTACTAATATTATCAATATGATACTGCGGCTGGTGGAACTGGTATTTAACGAATAAACATTTGTGGTAATTCTCATTGTCAAGATATTTTTTACAATTTGCCCAAATAAAAAAGAATCATAAATGCATCTTCTCTTTGACTGTGATATAACGCACTATTTTGGCAACCACTACAAGTTTATACTGTAAACAGTGGAACCTTAACATTCAAACCTTGAGCCAGGTGGGTGTATTATTTGGTAATAAACATCTAGATGAAATTGTAAATAACATATATTACATGCTTCATATTTATTTACACAATTTGACTTAAGTTCAGATCTACTCATACAATGTTGTGAATAAAACATATAACTCCCACCAATTTATCTTTTTTATAGCAATAAAACACCAGTAAAGGATTACGTATCGTTAATGCATTGTTAATGACTGTACACAACTATACAACTTTTTTCCAATTTCTATTACCATTGATCTAAGAGATTTGAATATCCGAACGAAACAAAATTAAAAAACGCATCCGGTCATTCATGAATAATTATTCCAGCGGAAATCTTTAAGTATCCACGAATTAAATATAACATAACTCTTGAGTCATCAAGTAGTTGTATAATTAAAGATCGGACACAAGATATAAGCCATCATTTCCTCTCTTATGTGTTTATTATTCACATGCAGTTTAAAATCTAGACATTTTATATATATATGTATTTTATGCCTGTATGATTACAATGAAAAATTTCATTCGTTATTCTTTCGGGTTGTTTGCAATCGTTTTGGAAATATGCGCTATCACGAAACCGAGTAAGTAATCTATCATTTTTAAAATAGAAATGCTATTTTAAACTATTCTATTGCTATATTTCATATTTATGGTAAAACTAATAATGATGGTGTTGATAATGAAAATGATAATTCTGTCAATATCATTGGCTATGTGAAAAACGTTTCGGTTACCGTGATGACAGTGATGATTATATGTTTGCATATTCTGACACTGGTCATGTTGGTGGGTGAATCATGAGGATTGAGAGATGATGATGACGATGTTTATAATTGTGATGTTGATACTCACGATAATACATAATCATATAGTGGCAGTTTGTATTATTTCCAATGATAACAAAGGGCAATCTTAATGATTATGATGACTTGGGTGCGGGTAACGACGATGATAATGTGTTCAGTTTTTGATGAAAACAGTTCCAAAGCTGTGGTTTTTTTCATCGATGTTCATTGAAAAAATGTCAAAAATTATCAAGGCAAAAACACAACATATTGATAACAACATATAAAAGACACACTTTCTGACGTTGTGATTAAAGCTAGATAAGAACAATGGACATCAGCAGACGACATGAAACGAGAATCCGTGTAAGACATGGGATCTTCCTGTTCACAATTACGCAGATAGTCATTTGCCTGACGCTACAGTGGCAGATGTAGCCAATTGTTGTCATGCTCGGATCGAATTACTAGTATATATGGTCTTGGACGTCAATTTTATTGATTCAATTCAGCACATTTGGATTTTTTTTCGTTTATGAGTTTATGAGTAAATGTTGAAGGTTTTGTGATCCCTCAAAATTCTGATTACTTGGCATTTTTAGTATTCTGATAGTTAATATTTGTAATGTGGTAGTTTTTTTTTAATCAGTTTAATAGCTTTATAAAATGGCATTTTTTTCTAGAGTATAAGATGCAATTTTCTTTTCAATTTCCTATTGTAAAAGGTTGTTTATTGATCTTACAGCAATTTTATTAATCTCTCATATTTTGCGTTCGCAATTACACGACTAGGTCTGAGGTGCTGAGGTCTTTCAATGCTCTGGCTAGGTCTGGTGATTTGTTGTTGATCAGGATTTCCAGGACTGATCGTGCGTTGGTGAGAAAGACCACTGAAGAGAGATTCTGACGAGTCTATCATCATGGAGACTGCCTTCATGAGTGCTTCAGTCTGTTCTGGAGTTGTTGCAATGCTTCCAGTGGCCATATGGTGTGTTATTCGATGGCCTGATTGGTGTATGATGAGAATACCAGCCCCTCTGTCTTTGATTGATCTTGTGGCTGACCCATCCGTGTAGACATGGGTCCACTTGTCATTAACGTAGTCTTCATTGATCATGACAAGCGTAAGACTCTTTCTGATACCCGCTCATTATTGTGTACCACTTTCAAGCTGAGGGATGTCGATTTCACCTTAATGCCAGACGTATAACTATTCTTACGGTGGAATTCTCTGCTTTTAATCAACATCAATTTTCTTTTCCTTATTTTAGAAACCATTTCAATCGCATACTGATTTCAACATCCGGTCGAGTATTTTATCGGTACTAGAAGTGAAATGTTGTTCTTTGAGTTGTTTCATTAATTTTATATCAAAAAATTTTGATCTGAAATTGTGATGTTGTGTAAATGATGATGTGTATATGATGATAAAATGACATTTCGTTCCTTTTTGTACGATGCTACGTTCTTTTTCATGTCTTAAAGCTATTTTACAGGCAGTAACAGTTTGAGTAAATGTGGAACTTTAAAAATTGAACAATCTGCTTAACTAGAAAGGAACCTTACTGTTACATTGACTCCATACTAGTATGATTAAAATGCAAGTCTGGAATGGCAATATGCACGTAAAAAAGTTTCATGGTTCACTTGACCTTTGTCATACAAATTCACACAATTTTATGAAGATAAATCTTATCATAATAATCTTAACGAATTTAAATTTAAGTAAATCTTTCCTTGCGACCCCGCTATTTGGCGTGTTTTCGCTCCGCGTTCTCGCCGTGTTATTTCTTAAATCTCGCTCCGCGCCTCCTCGATGTGATGCGAACTTCTTTTATTAAACTTCATAAACCCCGCGCCCCCGCTTTTTAGCGTGTTTTCGCTCCGCAAGCCCGGTCCGCCTTTCTTAACCGCAAGCCCCGCCCGGCATTTTGCTTGGATAGCGGGGCAATGACATGAATGGCACTAACCAGTCACTTTAAAAAAGTAATAATTGTCCATATTAATTAATTATATACAGAGTACTTACAATAAATAGGGATGCATTTTTCAATTTTAAATGTGTTTGTCACATTCTTAGCCTTTAAAGCTGTTTTTAAGGAGTACTTCAATTTATAATTCTTACACGAGTATTTTTTTTCTCAATTTTCCCCTTAGCGATTATTGTACTTGGTAATGCAATGAGAATGTTTGTTATGAATTGTAAAAATGACTTGAAGACAGTTTATCCAATAAGTCAAAAAATACCGAAAGTAAGCCATTTTCGCGAAAATTGGAAAAAATATCCTTCGCTACAATATATTTTTAAACCATTGTGCAATTAACTGTTCAACAACATGTATAGACAAAGTATTTATGCTAAATTCTGTCTGAATGATTTAATCATAAAGGATTTAAAGATTTCCAAAAAATGGAAGTTTGGCCGAAATGAAAAATACGAAATAAGGTTTATCCAACGGAGTAATAAAAAGAACTTACTTTATAACATTTGAAGTTTTACTGCTTGCATAGATAGGTTAAATAAGAAAACGTTCTATCATTGAGATTTTATGAAAGAGTTCCCTTGTTTTTTCTATAAACGAAAAACAGTGTTTGGAGCCTAAAAATGGCATTATTTTCACCGTTTGAGGTCTCAAAAGGGGGGACAAAAAGCCGTCAAAACCCGCTTATATGGGGGAAAGGTTAACAAAAAATGATAAAAAAACCTTGGAATTACCAAAGATTTAGATTTTCCATGTCAACACGTGGTCTCACACCTAATTTTGGTGAAAATTGTTGTTTTGTTACGTTTTGTAAATTTTAATTTACCATTTATCACATGTGCACATTGTGAAAAATGGCCGTTTTCATTGAAAAGCCTCCTGTTAAAATTTCAAACTGCTATGAAACTAAGAAAAATGCTTCAATACTGATGAAACTTGCCACAAATGTTGACTGAAAGATAATCTCTGTAACAGCAGGCCTCGACATAAGCGGTGGTCCATATGTCCGAGACCACCTCATTTTGGCAAGGACTACCTAATTTTACAGGCAACTGGTCCGTTAGACCACTTGAATTTTCCAAATGATGCAGGGCTCATCTAGGAGAATGGTTATTTGGTCGGAAAACGTGTTCTATAATTATTGTTTAAAACCATTTCTCCGATGTACAAGTATATGTTCATTCATCTCATAAGTTCAAAAAGATCTTAAGACATCCCTAACCTTTTATTAACTCGCTAACAGTGTAGTTAATTATTTTAATAATTAAAGTATAAAATTCATTCAAATGTCTCTAGTACTTCATTGAATTTATAACATTTTAACACTATGGAATATCGGATAAACACATAAATAATGGTGCCAACAAAGGCAAAGGAAAAATTAAATATCAAGTAATCTTTGGCTACTATTTTAAACGATCAGGGATCCATTTTTTCTTGTTTAAAGTACTTTAAAAGGTTATAAATACTTTGTTAAAAATAAATAAATTTCAACAAACAAGCATGTATAATAAATATGTGAGGAAGATAAGCTCAATTATAATGTAGGAGTTTTTCTGTTTATCATTAATATTTCATTGTTTCAAAGACAAGAAAATAATAATTAAATAGTGTAATTAAAAATGTTAATCTATAAAAAGCAATTATTATTCTTATCAGATGTACCAGGAAACAGCAATGAGTATTTGAATAACAGTAAGGAAATAAGTCATTCACAAATGGTTTCACTATTCCCTAACTTGAGTTGCGGAAGTCACTTAACCAAAGTATGAGTACTGTCATGTATCTTTCAATGAGATAATAAATACTAAATAGGATTACAACGACTTACTAAAATAGCAAATATACATGTTTTCTTCAGTTATTATAAATCTAATAATAAATATGTCTCTGTCACCAATTTTAAGTGTAATTCTTCTAATTCTGAAGTTTCTTTAAAAACAAATGAGTAAATAAAAAAGATGGACCACCTGTGTTCAGAAAGGACCACCTGAATTTTGGATCCAGTGGTGCGGCATACCACCTGCTGAAAAAGTTAATGTCGAGACCTGAAGAGCATGCTCAATCTTATGGCAACTTGGGGACGTCTCAAAATTGCGAAAAATCACTTTTTTGCATTGTTTTTTTCCATCAAGACTAATTTCAAAGTGCTGCTACTTCTGCTTTTCAGCGTTGGTTACACATTACCTTAAGATTTTTAGCCATTTTTAGCCTGTCACATGTCCAAAATTCTCTTGGCGTTGAGAAAGGCTGTCGCCCCCTTCAAACCCAAAAACAAAAGGGGACACGTTCCCCTTCTGGCAACAGAATGGGGCACATCCCTCTTCTGGCAACCCTCTGATGAATCATTTCGATGGGGGCCGTGCCAAAAAAGTGATCACTTTTTCGACAACATTTCTCAAACAAAAAACAGTATTTCGAGCCTAAATATGGCATTTCTTTCACTGTTTGATGCCTCAAAACGAGGGGGCCGTCCAAACACGCTTAAATGAGGAAACAGGTTAATCTGCACATAAAATTTTGTATATATTTTGGTTCTTGAATGTTTTTACCTTCTTAAAATTTAAGTATAATTTACTCAATATTTATATATTTTCTTGAACTACTTTTGCTTATCTGGAGGCGTACAGCTTTAAACGTTAAATTAATCATCATTTTATAACTCAATTTTTTGTAATTGTATGAATGAGCTTTATTCCATTTGTGGAATTAATTTCGATTGCGTTCTGTCTACCTTTAAACATAAAACACTTTTTTGCGCTTAAAACATTGATAAATCAAAGTATAATTGTTTAATCATCTTATCAACGTAAC